ATGATGTAGTTGTTAGATAAGTAGAAGTTGAGTGTAGGATAACAATTATTGACTGTAAAAGAGATTTAGATTTTTACATTGAGGAGTTATAGCAAATATGAATAGATTAGTGGGAATAGCATGTATGTGGGATGTTTTGGAGTATTAAAGGAACTTGGAGTATTAAGGGAACTTGAACTTGAGGTTATAACGTTGTAATAAATGTAACTAGAAAAGGGGAGAATAGGAATAAAAAGAGAAATGTTAAGATGAAATTAAATGAGGAATATTTTGGAATGGGGTAATAAATTTAAAATGATGTTGTTCCTTAAATATATTTGTTTTCAAAAAGGATTTTATGATTCTCTGATAAAAAGGGATAGTTTTGATGGTTGAAGGTTTTCTTTACAATGTTCAAATAAACTTTGAGACAAAGGTACTCTACGTATGATATTTTGAAATTACAAAACATTGCTTTACTATATGGTATCACCCTGCATGCATGATCATTTCTATCTATAGGATGGTTATTACTTTAGAACTATGAGATTCCTACTGGGCAATTGTGCTCACCCCTTGTTGTTTCATTTTTTTTTTACAGGAAGAGATTTTAGATTGATTGGTTGAAGGATTAGGAAATTCATGTATCTCTTATGTGTAATCTCATTGTACTTTGATGTTTGTAATTATTTATATGTAACTCCGTAGCGGGAGCTTGGCATGTATTATTATTATTGTTGTACTCATCATGAGAGAGAACATGTACTATTATGTTTCTATTACTCAAGGGTAATAGATATTTTAAAAAATAAAATAAAAAAATGGACCTAAATTTCAGGCTCTTGGTAATGTTTTTGAGTAATTAAAATTTAGAACGTGACATAAACAAACACTGATAGAACATTTACAGTGAAAAAAGGGTGGCATGGTTAGACAACCCTTTTAGAAGTTATTAGTTCTGAACTATACAAAATTGTTAAGCAACTTGCAAAAAAAAAAAAACAAAAAAAGAAACAAATTGTTTAACCATAAAGAAACCAATTACATAGTCACGATCCTATTTCTACTTTTATTTTTATAATATATGCAATAAAATTTTTACATAGTGGGGTTGCATTATTGGTGTATTTTATTTTTTTATATAATGGGGTTAATTCCAGTTAGAATTAATTTATACATGCCTTTTTTTTTTCTTTAAATAAAAGCAAATGTATATAAGTTTGTGTATATATATTCTATTAAAGAACATGTACTATTATGTTTCTATTACTCAAGGGTAATAGATATTTTAAAAAATAAAATAAAAAAATGGACCTAAATTTCAGGCTCTTGGTAATGTTTTTGAGTAATTAAAATTTAGAACATGACATAAACAAACACTGATAGAACATTTACAGTAAAAAAAGGGTGGCATGGTTAGACAACCCTTTTAGAAGTTATTAGTTCTGAACTATACAAAATTGTTAAGCAACTTGAAAAAAACAAAAAAACAAAAAAAGAAACAAATTGTTTAACCATAAAGAAACCAATTACATAGTCACGATCCTATTTCTACTTTTATTTTTATAATATATGCAATAAGATTTTTACTTAGTGGGGTTGCATTATTGGTGTATTTTATTTTTTTATATAATGGGGTTAATTCCAGTTAGAATTAATTTATACATGCCTTTTTTTTTCTTTAAATAAAAGCAAATGTATATAAGTTTGTGTATATATATTCTATTAAAGAACTAAACGTTGATGCGAAGGTATACAATAAAGCTTGAGAGCTCGAAAAGTCAAAGGCTCGATTGGCCTGAAATTGAAAACGACGTCGTTTTCATTTTTTTTTTCTCTCCTCAAACAGGGAGAAGAGAATAGAGAGAAGAGAGAAAGGAAGGAGAAAGGAGAAGGGCGAAGAGAGAGAGAGAGAATAGGGATTTTCGTTTGGGTTTGTCTGTTGCTATGGGTTTGATTTTTTATTTAGATTTTGATTTTGATTTTGATTTTGATTTTGATTTTGATTTTCGTTTGGATTTGTCTGTTGCTGTGGGTTTGATTTTTTATTTTTCTTTTTTTTTGAGTTTGTTTGTTAAGGATTGTTGCTGTGGGTTTGTTTGTTGTGATTTTTTATTTTTTTTTTGAGTTTTTTTTTAATCCCTCTATTAAAGGATTGTTTGTTAAGGATTGTTGTGATGTATACACAGATTTTTTTTTTTATCTGTGTGTGAGTTGTTGAGATTGTTGCTGTAGGTTTGTTTGTTGTGATTTTTTTTTTGGAGTTTTTTTTGAATCCCTCCATTAAAGGATTGTTTGTTAAGGATTGTTGTGATGTATACACAGATTTTTTTTTGATCTGTGTGTGAGTTGTTGAGATTGTTGTGTGGGTTTGTTTGTTGTGATTTTTTTTTTTTTTTTGAGTTTTTTTTTAATCCCTCCATTAAAGGATTGTTGTGATGTATACACAGATTTTTTTTGTGATCTGTGTGTGAGTTGTTGAGATTGTTGTTGTGGGTTTGTTTGTTGTGATTTTTTTTTTTTTTTTTTGGGTTTTTTTGAATCCCTCCATTAAAGGATTGTTGTGATGTATACACAGATTTTTTTTTTTGATCTGTGTGTGAGTTGTTAAGTTTGTTGTGGGTTTGAATTTCCAGAGCAGCAGAGTAGAGAGGGAGAAGGAAGAAGAGAGGAAAAATAAAAAATAAAAATAAAAATTCAAACAACGTCGTTTGAAATTCGGGGCAGTCGAGCCCCAGTCCATTCGGGCTACGTAGCACGATTGCGAAAGTATATGAGTCTAAATTTTATCCTCTATTTTTTTTTTCTAAATTAAGTAACTTATATATATATATATATATATATAAGTCTTTCTGAGAACATTGAAGCTTTGTCTATTTGTCAAGTTTTCTGACTTAGGCATCGGAGAGGTTTCCGGCACACACCCGCCGGCTAGCTCACGTTTGTGTTTTCAGGTGATAAAGCGACGTCGTACGGAGGAGCGTGGACTTGGTCAACAGGATTATACGAGGAGAATTATTTCCTCCCCGTACAAACATGATTAACAAAATGAAACAAAAGCTTCTATGATTGAGAATACAAAAAATTCTAGACTCTTAAATAATTTACAGAATATATATCAAAAAAATAAACAAAAGTTTCCGTAAGTAAGATCATAAAAATTAATGACTCTTAAATCACTTGGACTTTAAATTGATAATGTGAGGCCAAGCGCTGAAATTGTGATTTTATTAAGAAGGAAAATTTAGTTTATATTGAGCTTTTATATGGTGGGAAAAAGAAAAAAAAAATTCATGATGTATTCTTTTCTTTTCTTTTTTTGTAATTTAGATTGAATTTTTATATGGTGGAATTTTTTTTAAAAAAAAATTATAAAAATATGAGCCTAAAATTCACATTATAATGTGTACATGCTTTTTTTAGAGTAAATTACCTAAAAGTCCTATTTACAAGTGTTATGTTAGCTTAGGTCCTATTTAAGATTTTTTGAACCAATAAGTCCTATTTAGTAAAACTGAGAATATTATCATTTTTTTTTGTCCAATTTTTAAAACTAAGAACATTATCAATTTTGTATAGTAATGTTCCAGATAATTGTTTTACTAACTGATAAAAAAAAATAGACCATGAGATTAAATGTTTTTACTCTTCTACTTATTGGTTTGATTCAACTGTCCATTAAAATAAAAAACATTATCAATTTTTTCCAATTTGAAACTAAGAACATAATCAATTTTTTTATTTTTAATTTTTTTTGTAATAGTTTTGCACGTCAATGCTCCATTATCATGCTCCTTTATAAATACAAAATTTTTAGTTTTGCACAAAAAATAATTCAGTTTTTTTTAGTTTTTTTGCACATAATTTTTTTAGTTTTTAATATGAAAGTTGATATTTTAAAGTTTTGAAAATCAAAATAAATATCAAATCATCATGTTCATTTCTAGAAAATCATAAATGATGAACAATCGTTATTTGAAGTAGGGATGAATAGTGGATATTCTGATTTGTCTAAACTGACTGAACCAAATCGATCCGTCGCATTTTGGACGGATGTGTGATGACGAGCGGACGATTGCAGATTGATTTTTTTCAATCCGCTTAGTTTTGAATGGATGATTGATTTGAAGTCCCTTTGGCCTCAACTGAGCCGCCAAATCGCGAGTACCCCTAATAATTTGTAAGACGTTGTGTTTTCAATTTGTTTAGATATTTTTTTTGTGTTTTCAATTGAAAAAGAGTTTAAATATTCTGTTTTATTTTCAAATTGGAAATCCATTTATCAAATGACAAATGTTGATATTTCGTATTTTTGTGGAAAATATAAGGCTTAATTTTGTTATTTTTTTTAAAAATCAAATTAAATAGTTTTTGAATAAAAAAAAAAAGTAACGAAATAGTTTTGATAATGCATAATTTTCTTACATGTATTTATTATTGGTATTTGACAATTTACCTGATAATCTTTTGGTGATATTGAGTTGGATTGTTATCCAAAAAAAATGTTGACAAATTGTTGTGTTATGTTCAAAATTTGTAAAATTTTAAACCGCAAAACCGATTCACATCCATCTGCCAATCCGCGTTTGTCAATCCGGTGGACAGATGCGGATTAATTTTTTCCCATCTGTCAATCTGCCGGACGAATGGCGGATTAGAAATTTTCTAGTCGCAACCGAACCGTGAACACCCCTAATTAGCAATTCCGACTATTAAAAATTTAATAGGACTTCAAGGTCAAAAAAAAATCTTAGTTATGACTTAATAGAGTATAAATTCATAGATTAAAACTTGTGTGTTAATGTCCCTTTTTTTTATTTGTTTTTTTTTCAATCAACATGATCAACAAAATGAAACAAAAGCTTACAATTTAGAGAATATGTATTAAAAAAAATAAACAAAAGTTTCAATTAATAAGAATATAAAAATTAATGACTCTTAAATCACTTAGATTGAACTTTTATATGGTCGGAAAAATAAAAAAGTTTTTACATAAATATGGAGAGATCCAAGAATCTTACCCAATTTGCAAGCTGGTTAAAGGAAATAGATATCGGCGATGGTTGACTTCCGCCATTGAAATTAAAGCCCAACTTCAAATTCAAACCACTACAAACCACCGTTCAATTAAACCATTACCACAAAATTGATACCAATTGTAAGTAAATAAATAAATAAATAATTCAAAGCAAATTTGAAAAATTGAATATTTGAAGAATGTGATTGACGATGATTTTACTTGGGAGAAGAAAAAGAGAATTCCATGAATACAAATACAAAGACGAAGAAGAGAAGAAGAGGAAGAGGGGGAGGAAAGAAACACCGTCGAACTTCATAACAGAAAGGAGGGACATATGGGATGAAAAGGTGTTTGTGGGATGAAAAGGTATGCGAGAGATGTGGCTGTATTTATTTATTATTATTTTATTATCTAATTTACATGTGGCAAAAGTTTCAGGAGATTAAAGTTAGACCTCACTTAATAGATAGTATAGATAGAAAAATGACTTGGACCCCCAGCTGGGATGCTGGGGTCGCCCATGATTGGACGAAAAAAACAGTTTTTTTTTTTTTTTTAAGTTTTCGGCCAATCCCAGGCCGACACGTGGCACTGGAGGTCGGTGGGGGTCGTCCATACTGGGGGTCTGTAGCATTGTTGAGTATAGATATTACTTATTGAATGAAAAAGTTGAGACTAGAAAAGAAATTTTAAGTTTTTAAGAAATGTGTTCTCATTTTGCAATTCTTTCGGGCTTGTTTGGCATAATTTGTCACAAGTTGAAAATAGAAAATTGAAAAGTAAAAATAAGGGTGAATTACATTAATGCTGTGTTTGGTTTGAGGATTTAGGGAGGGATTTGGAAAGGGAAAGGAAAAAGGTGTGTGAAATTATGTGAAATATAGACATATTTTATTCACATTTCACTAACCTTTTCCATTTCTCTTTTCAAATCTCTCCCTAAATCCCGCAACTAAACATAGCATAACAGTCCCTATAGTTTGGAACTCGTGTCATTTTGGTTCTTGATTTTTCAATTATGATACATTTGATCCTGAATTTTGAATATTGTTCCAAATAAGGACAATTGAAGATATAATTGCTTAATTTCAAGGGTAAAATTATCAATTTAATAAAATATAAACTAATTTGATAAAAATAAATATTGAAAAAATATTTTAAAAATTTTAAAATTAGTTCTACCCTCCAAAGATAAGGTTATATAAAATTGATAAATCTTTTAGACATTTATTTATTTATTTTATCAAATTAATTTTTATTATATATTTGGATGATGATTGTGTAATGGGTGATTGTTAAGATTTTAATGTGTAATCATATATTTAATATATAAAATGTTTTTAGTTTTTTGAATTTTTTGATTTAATGGATTGGTTTAATAATGATATCAAAGTTGTCACCATAATTGACTTTTAAAAAAATAAAATCTGATTTAATAAAAATAAAAACAACTACCCATTACATGATTATCATCCAAACACATAATAAAAATTAATTTAGTAAAATAAATAAATAAATAAATATCTAAAAGATTTATCAATTTTACATAATTTTATCTTTAGTGGGTAGAAATAATTTTTAAAAATTTTAAAATATTTTGTGACATTTATTTTTGTCAAATTAGTTTATATTTTATTAAATTAACGATTTTGCCCTTGAAATTATGCAATGGTATCTTCCATTGTCCTTATTTGGAACAAGATTCAAAATTCAAGATCAAATGTGTCACAATTGAAAAGTCAGAGACTAAAATGATACAAGCCCCAAACTATAGGGACCATTAGTGTAATTCGCCCAAGTTATTAGTATTCCTCCACAAATCTTGTAATAATTAAATTTTTTAATTTATTTCTATCTTATAAACTATAAAAGCTACATCAAACACTTTAATACCTATTCTCAATGTAAAAAATCTATATTATGTAATACTAACGGGCGCCCAAAAGGGCCCACCTCACGGCCCAAATAAGCCCACAGCTCATGGCCCAGGCATTAAAGCTTAGTAACTTTGAGAAACCAATGCTGGGGCCAGGACCAATAGCATGCAAACATTTGTCAAGCAGGAAATTAGTCACATAAGCAGACAAAGATCCTGCAAAGTTATTGCACTCATATACAAACTATTTAATAAGGCAACTATAGCATTAAATACAGCAAGACCCCTCGCGTCGGAGTATGCAGAATCACCATGAACTTAGACTATAGACTTTTGACCAACGAGACAGCTGGGAATAGATAAGGAAATGATGAGCAAATGATATAAAGAATCTTTGCAGCATACGTTAGAGGTTAAGTTTTTATCCCTTTTACTTCTATCTCTCTCCCTAAAAATCAATCCGTCCTAACCTAACTTGATTGTTGGAGTTTCTGTCGGGGGACTATCCCCCATTTTGGACCTTTTTGCAGGCACGCTTCGAGGACACCGAGGCCAGTAGACCGATTAGAAGCATGGACGAGTTCGACCCATCCACAATTGGATTTACCGCATTAGTAGTTGACGCCGTCTGTGAAAAACTTGTCTCTAGTCGACAGTTGTGTTAATTGTCAGCGGAGGAAACTCCGTCACCACCCATCTACCACTCCAAGGTGGATCGTCACGACAAAGTCCATGGCTTCACAACACAATGCTGGCAACCCTAAAGTCGAATCCTCCAACCCAAATAACCCACCTCCATATTTCGTAGAGCTCACCAACAGCATCAACCAACTAACAGAGCAGAACCAATACTTGATCAACACTTTGCTCTAGCGTGACTTACTTATCCCGTCTCCACCACCACAAATAGTCCCCCCGAACTTGGAACAAACCCACAATCATCATCAATTTCCACCACATATGTCCCAAGACATATTTCCACCCTTCGTCCCACAGCCTCAACCATCGAATCTTGACAATTTGGCAGCCCTTCCCCCAGTCTCGCAGCCTCGCCAAGAGGGACCACCACCTTTCCATAACCACCCTCCTCCACACCACGCTACCGTCCATGAAGGCGAGGCTAGCAATGTTTAGCCCTCGCTTCATACTTGTGGGGATAATACTCCCGTTTAGGATGAAGAACTAAGGGCCATGAAGATTCAACTGTAAGGGGTCATGTAGAACTTGCAGCACAAACCTTTCTCCACCGTCAACTCCCCTTTTACCACTTCCATCAGAGATAAAGCTCTGCCCCCTAATTTCAAAATGCCATAAATTGACACCTTTGATGGTACCATCGATCCGGTCGACCACGTGGAAGCATATCGCACACTTATGATCCTCTATGCCTTTCTAAATGAGATCATGTGTTGTGCTTTCCCCGTCTCATTGAAGGGATCGGTGGGACTTTGGTTTAACCAACTCCCCTCAGACTCCATCACTTCCTTTCACCAGCTCAGTGACTCCTTTCTAAGCCACTTCATCGGTGCCTAGCGGCAACGACACTCGGCGACCCAACTGCTAAATATCCGGCAGACCAAGGGGGAATCGCTCCGCAACTTTGTCACCCGTTTCAATACGGAGGCCCTACAAGTGGAGGAGAATGAGATCATGTGTTGTGCTTTCCCCGTCTCATTGAAGGGATCGGTGGGACTTTGGTTTAACCAACTCCCCTCAGACTCCATCACTTCCTTTCACCAGCTCAGTGACTCCTTTCTAAGCCACTTCATCGGTGCCTAGCGGCAACGACACTCGGCGACCCAACTACTAAATATCCGGCAGACCAAGAGGGAATCGCTACGTAACTTTGTCACCCGTTTCAAAACGGAGGCCCTACAAGTGGAGGAGAATGATGACAAGGTCATCCTCACAGCCTTTATGGCTGGTTTGCGCCCATCAGACTTTCTATTTTCCCTCTCCAAAAACCCCCTGACCGCAATGGCCACCCTTCTCGCCAAATCCCAGAAATACATGAATGCCTAAGACTCTCTGGCAGCTCGCTAAGATTCCACATCTAAAACCTCGCAACCTAGGGAAAAGAGAAAAGAACTTAAGCCCAGGCACTCACAATATACCCACCGAACCCCCCAATATAGAGACCGACCTTCACGCTTGAACTGGCCACCCCCTACCCGACCACCTAGTCGGTTCAAATGGTACACATCTCTTAACTCACATCTGAAGAATACGAGAGCCACTTACCAACGCCTAGTTAATGTCATCTTCAAAAACCAGATAGGTTGGAATAATGGAGGTTTATGTTGATAACATGCTCGTCAAAAGCAAACTCTCCTCTGATCACTTAACAGACCTATGAGAGACCCTCTAAGCCTTGTGTAAGTATAAGATGAAGTTGAATCCAGAAAAGTGCGCCTTCGGCGTTGGATCGGGTAAGTTTTTGGGGTTTATGGTTAGCCACAAAGGAATTGAGGCCAATCTAAAAAAGATCAAGGCCTTGATAGAAATGCAGCCTCTGAGAATGGTAAAAGAGGTTCAGCGGCTCACAGGCAGAGTAACCGCCCTCAATCGCTTCATATCGAGGGCAACCGACAAGTGCCTTCCATTCTTTAAGGTACTTAGAAAGGCTTTCGATTGGAACGCTGAGTCCGAGGAGGCATTCCAACAACTAAAACAATGCATGGCAAACTCTCCCTTCCTCTCTCAAGCAATTTTAGGGGAGACCCTTTTCCTTTACTTAGCCGTCTCCCGCACGACAGTAAGCACTGCCCTCGTCAGAGAGGAAGATTCAATCTAACGTCCGATTTATTACATCAGCCGCGCACTTCGAGGGGCAGAACAAAATTATCCTTTATTGGAGAAGATGGCCCTAGCTCTGGTCATCGCCTTTAGATGCCTTCGGCCCTACTTTCAAGCCCACTCCATAGTGGTTCTCACTGACCAACCTTTGAAAAAATTTATGCAACAACCAGAGTCGTCAGGCAGTCTTATGCAGTGGTCTGTTGAATTAAGCCAGTACGAGATCTCTTATCGACTGCGAACGGCCATGAAAGGCCAGACTATTGCTCTACCCCTCACCCACCTCTTTAATAGTTTCCACATCAAGCATGTCCCTAGGGTAGAAAATTGCCAAGTAGATGCAATGGCACAGTTAGCCTCAACTGACCAATCTGACCTCAACCACGGTGTCCAAGTTGAATACCTAACCCACCCAACAGTTTCACCAGATCAACAAGAGGTTCACTTGCTCCAGGATGAGCCCATCCCATGGGTCCACGATATCATCTCATTTTTAGAACAGAGAGTCTTACTAGAGAATAAGCAGGAGGTCGATAAGATCCGGGCTCGGTCGTCTAACTATGTTATTATCAAGGGTATCTTGTACAAATAGGGGTTTTCACGGCCATACCTCAGATGCTGAAATGCTAATCAAGCTATATATGTGATGCGAGAAATCCATGAAGGGGTTTGTGGCAA